TTCGATAACGGGTAACCTTTGGTTTGGATCGTTTCTTGATGTATCCCGCATTATCGATCAGTTCAGGGTAGTGCTCTTGCGCAAGAACCTTATCAATTTCGTCACTGCTATCTACATCTTCATCAACCCGCGCAGCAATATGTCGAGCTGCACGTGGTCTGGTTTTGTAGTAGTTGTAGCATGCTGCGAAATCGGCGAGTGAGATTCCTTCCAATTCGGCCGATCGTTTCGATTACACTGTGTACGAAGCAGTCATCAGAAGATCGATCGAGTGTGCGGAGCTCTTGCTGTGGCTTTACAACCCGTACTCTCTCATCTGGTAGTGATGTTTGAATGAATATTACCTTCTCGGTGCAATGTGACACTGGAATTTGAAGGACGTTATAAGCCGCTTCTTGAGCTGAAATCTCTGTAGTGTTGTAGTGGGCTGTGCCGATGCTTTGCATTGTTTGCCGTAAGCTACTGTTCCCCCTCCGCAGCTCCTTCACAATGTCTTCAGTCGTACTGCTTGCTCCTCTGTCCGTTTTGTTGATGTAGTCGATGATGTAGGTGGCACACGCGTATGGATCAAGCACGAATTGCAGATCCATACTGGACCGCATTGTTGATAGAATTTTTGGTGAATATGGATTGACCATTATATCTGAAGGAGATCGGCGCAAAATCACTTTGCACTTACGCAGATCCCACCTAAGTGCCAACATGTATTCTTCTTCAGACAGTTGGCATAGTGTTAGGAACTCGTCGAAACAGAGATTGCCCAGATTTTCGGTTTGGTTCAGAAGGGTTTTTACTTGTTGCAACTGACCGGCAAAACGTTGGCGGTCCCGTACGCCGACTCACTCTGGAAGGGGGTGCAAAATGCGGTCTCGCGCATGGGATAAAATGGAATACCGAATCTGGATTTTGCTGACTCATGCTTACGGCGTGTCCGACCGTGCCGGTGGTGCTGAAACTAAAGGTAGTGTGGATAGGTCGGTGGGTCGTGCTGCTCCATTTCGTTCATCACGGAGGTGCATGCTGTAATGCTGTCAATGTAGTTGCATACCTCTCGCTCGTTTGATCCTGTCACCGCATCGTAAGCAGGTGCGTCCTGAATCCAGAGTAGCTGGTGTATGTGAGGAGATCCGCGTTGCTGAAATTCTACTCTATAATACGAATGAGTTATACCATTCCTCCGAACGGCCCATCGACCAGACACCAAAGTTTGGTTTGCTCCTTGTAGCGATAGTCGAAATGCCTAGCGCAAGTAATTGGAGCTGGATCAGTCGTGATTTTTCTGCATAG